AATTATAATTATAATTTGGATGGGAATAACCTTAACAGTTTCATGAAGGTAAGAGATCTTGGTGTAATAGTCGATCAGTCTCTAAAGCTATCCAAGCAGTGTTCTATTGCTAGTGTTAGGGCAAATAGGATTTTAGATTGTATCTACAGAAATATTGAACACAAGTCTAAAGACGCTATAATTTTCTTGTATAAGTACTGGTTAGGCCAATTTGGAGTATTGTGTTCAATCTTGGGCTCCTTACCTTAGGAAGGACATTGAATTGTTGGATAGGGTTCAGAAAAGGGTTACTAGAATGGTGCCTGGAATGGAGGGGTTGTCATATAAGGAGAGGTTGAAATCTCTCAAATTGTTTTCTCTTGAAAAAAGAAGAATTAGGGGGGATCTGATTGAGGTGTTCAAGATTGTAAAGGGAATTGATAGTGTTGATGCATCTATTTTTTTTTTATCATTCTTAATAGTGAGAATAGTAGGACTAGGGGACACAAATATAAATTTTTTCAGGGTAGGAGTCATCTTTAGCTAAGACATTTTTATTTTTCTAACAAGGTGGTTGGCCTTTGGGATGGGTTGCCTTCAGATGTTGTGGAGGCAGTAAATTTAAATGAGTTTAAGAAAAATCTTGATAAGTATATGAATGATAAGGGCTAGTTTTAAGATTTGTTTTTAAATTTATTTATTAATAGCTTTAGATTAATTTAGAAGATGGAACAGCCGAATCCCATGTTGTCCCAAAATATTATGTTAAAGAAAAATAAATTGTTGTTCCAGAGCTCCATTTCTGTAGTGTCACAAGAAATAGATGACACAGAAAAATGACTTTAAGATATATCAAAGTAAGTGGTGGATTTAGCTATTCTGGGCCCTTGGTGCAACCTCAAGTTTGGGACCCTATCGCTAGAATTACTCTTGACATTTAGATAATTCATAATGGTGTGAATTAGTAATTAATATTGTATTAAATATATATATATAATAATATAAACTCAAACATAATTCATTTGTCCTAATTTCTTATTTTCTATGTTTAAAAATGAAAGAGGGATATTGTGTTCTGTAAATCATTCACCACTCTTTTGAACACAGAAAATGACCTTTCACCCATAGCATTAATGATCTTTCACCGTAGCATTGCTAACAGGAATTTCGTGGCCTGGGGATGATGTTGCATAATGGGGTGCCAGTTTGATTGAGTTTGATTTGACCTGCCACATGGGCACATCTCTTATTATTGTCATTTGGATGTCAGGTTTTCAGATGTATGGTTAGTTGTGGATTTGTGCACATGCACCCATTTCGTAGATTGGTTTCTACAGTATATACTTCCGTTCTACTGAACTTGAGGTGAAAACAGTGTGAACTCTCCTTTTACCAAGGATTGGAGGTTATATTCCTGATACTGATTGGTTTCCACAGTATATACTTCCGTTCTACTGAACTTGAGGTGAAAACAGTGTGAACTCTCCTTTTACCAAGGATTGGAGGTTATATTCCTGATACTGATTGGTTTCTACAGTATATACTTCCGTTCTACTGAACTGGAGGTGAAAACAGTGTGAACTCTCCTTTTACCAAGGATTGGAGGTTATATTCCTGATACTGATTGGTTTCCATTTTAGATTTTCCCCCACATTACTGTCTGTAGATGTTTCTTCAACTGTCTTTCCTTGATGGGATGTAGATAATGATATATTGTGATTCGGATTGCAATCCAACTGTTTTTCGCTCCCTTTTGGTTGTGCTCCTCCCTTTTTCCACCCATGTATACACCTCTTTCCTCACTGAGTGCAGAGTATACCTGGCACAGAAGTGGTGCAGTCTCCCACATATGATACTCTACTATAAGAATCACAATTCTGATGCTTTTGAAGGATCCTTATTTCTATCCCTCACACTGGTCCCTCCACCTATCAATGTGGGATTCTAGCAATATATGTGAAAGGAGGTAATGTTCACTATTGGAAGTTATAATTTTCCTATACTGAAAATGTATTTCTGATAGGTACTTATCTCTTCCCACCCTTTCTCTTCATTGAAAACTGGTGCTTTTATTTCTGCCTAAATTTGAAATGAGAGTTTGGTAGAATCAAATAGAGGGAGTCATGTACATCAGGAGGGTTATCCTATTCGTGGAGGGTTATCACATGATGATTACATGCGAGATGCAGTTGAACCTCAATGATTGTGGGGTGTGTGGGAGTGTAAGGCTTGTGGCATGAGAAAATTTTTTTTTTCCATATAGAGGGCAACACTGAACAAGAATAACTATATATGTGTGAGTGAGGTGAGTACCTACCAGAAATGCATTTTCAGTACAGGAAAATTATAACTTTCATATTAAAAAAATCACTAAATACCTATGTTTGCTAAATTCCCTTCCATAAGGTGCTTGCAGCAGTTATTCCCACTTGTGGATGCTAGTTAACTGAACATCACTTGTCAGGACAAAACAGCTAAAGGTTGGCAAAATGCATGTTCAAAATTGTGGTTACAAGCTGAAATCTGGTGCCCTTCCTGCACTGCTTGTGCACGTTCTGTAGGCTTACCAACTTTTTGAAATACAATTCCTGGAGATAAATGGATGTTTATATATTTATTCAAATTTTCATAATTCATAAACGGTTTTTATAAATTGGAGGCATATGAAGGCTAATAATAATTCATGTATTTAAAGACAACTATATCCAAAATAATGACAAACATTTATTTAAAAAAAATTATAAAATTACCAAATTAAACATTCTAATTTTCTATAAGAAATATTTAAATTTATATTTATTTTCTCTATGTGTTTTACAGTTTAAAGAAAATATTTTAGCCTATCTATGTAATACATTCTTTTTCTGTGACTATTTATTTATTTATTCCATGGGACACAAAAGTGTTTTGAGTTGCAAGAACATTTTTTTTAAGAACCCAGGACATTTGGCAAGTCTTCTGGGAGCTGAGAGAATATGTATGATTCTGGGAATTGAATTATTTAAATGGTGGAAATACAAAATTCTGTTCTTTCAAAGATATTAAATATCTATGAACTGTTTTTGTATCAACTTTATATGTTGCAAATAAAGAAACAGATGCCTCAGTTCTTCCTTCCACTTTGATTATTTTAATAAAAATTACTGGTTAATTCACTCATTACATTATCGATTTTTTACTGTGTTTTATCTATACTGCAAGGGGATTAACTCTAAAAAAAATAACCATACTTTAAAAATGTATTCGTTTTTGTTTTGTAAGATGATGAATGTTCAGTGAATTTAAAGTACAGTACTGTACTAAAAAATTTAGTTATTTTTCTTCTGCAGTGTAATGAAGGATCAAATGTACAAAAATAAATACTATAACTGTACCACATTATTAACTTATAATAGTTATTTCATACTTTGACTTCTTTAATCTTTTTATTACCATTATCATGTAGATAAACCTTCTCCACCTGGTGGTCCATTGAAAGTGGATGATGTTCATGCTGAGGGTTGTACACTTAAATGGAACCCACCAGCTGATGATGGAGGTACTCCTGTTGACCATTACACTGTAGAAAAGATGGATCCCGAGACTGGAAAATGGCTTCCTGTTGGGGAAACTCTAGGACCGGAAAATTCTATGAAAGTAAGTTTTGTATTTATTCTGGAAGCAAATTTAGTGCACATTTTGATATTTTGCCACTATCCTTATGCTATCTCCCACCTTTTTAGTTTGTTTTAACTTCAATTTTAAGCTGCATTGCTACTAAATAACTAGAAAAAAAAAAGATCTCAAGATCTCCAATTATAGAGTCTTTACAGCATTATCTCTTTTATGCACAACAACCAGGTTTTCCAGTTTCGTGCTCTTTCATTCGGCCTCTCATATGCACCATACGTTTTTTGCCTGATTCAGATCCTTTTCACATGATCTTCACTCAATGGGCATTAACACTCACCATTACATGGACGACTGGCTTCTTTTCACTTCTTCCTACCACTTGGCAGAACTTCACACTCAAACTCTGTTATCAGAAACTGTGAGAGCTGGGTTTCTTATCAAAAAAGAGAAGTCTGTTCTTACTCCCACACAGTACCTTGTCCATTTAGGGATGTTTTTCAATTCTAAACTAAGTTAGGCCTAACCTTCTCCTTTATGCCTTTTGGCCATGGAAGGGCAGTTGTCTTCTTCTAGTGCTTGTAGTTCTATCTCTTTTGGGGATGTAGGCATCCTTGGAATCACTCATTCCCTTAGGTCAGGCTCACATGTGGACCTTCCAGTGGTCGTTATGCACACATGTGCCGGATTTTCCAGTGATCCTGTTGACTTGGCAGTTGGTGATTCTCTCCAGGGCTTGAGTGCTTGTATATAGAATAAGGACAGAAAAGGAAACTTCTCTTCTTATCATTCTATTAGAACTTTTAGCTTTTAAACAAGCTACCACCCAGGGTCTCGAAGTGTTCCACAGTCATCTCATGCGTTTAAAAGCAAGGGGAGCACTCACTACAGATCTCTTTGCTTTTGAACATTGAATCTTCTCTTTTGGACACACAAACATCAGTTCGTTCTCCGTGCTTTTCATGTTCCAGGTGTAATGAATTTAGTGGTCAACCAGTTATCTTGTCCCAACAGAGCTCTTCCCACAGAATGGATGCTTCATCCTCAAGTTTTCATTGGAACTGCTCTCATCTCAGAATGCCTCAGATTGATGCTTTTGCCACACAATTGAATGCTCAGCTCCCATCCTTCTGGTCTCCTGTACCTCACTCTCTGCCATTGGGCATAGATGCTCTCAGCCAGGATTGGATGGGTCTTCATCTTTACGTATTCCATCTGATTCATCTGTTATCCAAAGGTTTTACACTGATTCTCTTCACGACCTGTTGAGTTCTTCTGGTGGCACCACATTGGCCAGTTCAGTATCTTCAGGAGTGTCAACCACTTCCCCCCTTCTTTCTGGCCATCTCTCTTACACCAATCTTGGTCAGACATTTTTCATCTGGCAGTCGATGTTCTTCAACTTCACACCTGGCTTTTATGTGGTCTATTGTACAACATCAGGGGTTGAAATCTCGGGTGGTGACCTTATTAACACAGTCATTCGGTATTCTTCTTTGGAAGTTTGTCAATAGAAATAGCTTACTTATTGTCAGTGGTCTCTCAGACATGAGCATAACACTTCTTGGCCACTGTGCTGCATGTCTCTCAATTTCTGACATGGTTATTTGATAAAGGTTTAGTGCCTTTGTCTATTGCCCTGTATAAGGCTGCTTTAGCGGCTACCTTTCGTTTTTCTAAGAGAAGAGAAGTGTTTGAGTCCCCAGTTTTGTCAATATTTCTGAAATCTTTTTGGTTTATCTGTCCTTTCCAGGTTTCTAATTGGGATATCACAATGGTTCTCCATGCCTTATTTCATCCAATTTTTGTACCTTTAGTGTCATGTTCACTATATCATCTTTCTCTTAAGACTTATTTTCTTCTGTTATTGGCTAGCGGAATGTATTTGTGCTTCATGTTCAGAGGACTGTTTACCATTCCAATTATGTTCTGTTGTATCCAGACAGATCTTTTCTACTCCAAAGTTCAGCAGCTAGAGAAGGAGATAAGGCTTTTGTCTTTTATTCATCTTTCCTCCATTTCACATTTATATGACCACTCGGATCCAGATCATCTTTTATGCCCAATTCAGGCTCTCCAACGTTATGTGGCATGCATGGAAGCATTTTGGGGATCACATCATTGTTTGTTTATCCACTGGGATCTTACTGAGTCATGTGACTTATCCCTTGTCACTTTGACAGGTTGGATTCACCAGTTGGTTCGTATGGCTTACTCTGGACTTTCATTAGAGGAGTGAATACTTCTTTGGGTCTCATCTCATCAAGTTCAACATATAATCAATGTCACTGGCAGCTCAGTTGTGTCGCCCACTGAAGTAAATTGTGCAAACTGATATGTGGAAGACACCCAATATTTTTATATTGCACTATTTACACAATTTAGTGGTTTCTTAGTTGGATGGGATTTGGCTACTCCCCATGGTTATTGTACCTGTTCTGGTGTGATTATGACAGAGGTGAGTGACTTCTTTCTTCTAAGTTATTCTATTTCTTTTCATGGACCCTATCATCATAATCATTTGGATCCCACTCCTTGGCGAGTGTTGCCTGGTCAGATATGCTTTTTCCAAATCTGCACTAGCTATCAGTAGATTAACAAATCAAATTTCTGGTAGCAACGAGCTGTCTTGAGATGGGGTGTTCCATAAGACCAACTTGGCACTTTCTGGGTGGTTCACAATTATTCAGTACCATATATAATATACAATACTAGACTGCTACTCTTGGACTATCATGAGCAAAACATAAAGTAATTTTGACCATCCCTGCTGACATCTGGATTTAATAAATTGGGTTTGGTTTTCTTTTCCAAATAGGTAACATGGTTTACCTGTTGCATTGTATCTGAACATCATTGCTCAGGATTCCCAAACATGAATTCTCCCCTCATTTCTCCAGAGTGGCACACAGGTGTCCTTACCACTCCCAGTTTCCAGTCGCTGGAGTGGTGGATAGAAGTCTATTCCTCCTGAGTGATGTTTAAACACTTTATTGCAATCAGGGAGAAGAGGGCAAAGCTGTATATCCTCCCACATCTATAACGCTGGATGTTTTTCCCAGGACCAGTCTACGTGATAGCTTCTTCGTAATTCTGGTTCATAGATGACACTTCGTTATCTGGTTGTGTTGAGTATGGCCCTTCTTTTTGGTCGTTATATTACTTGCCATGATCATGGAAGAGGGACCTCGACTCCATAATTCCGCATGTCAAGTCCTTCAGTCCATTGGTTTAACTTCGTTTGTTCCATATACTCCTTGTAATTCCGTGGGGTCAGGGGTGTTGCCTTGCTTCTCAGGTTGGGGGAAGGCTTGTCCACTTAGGTGTTGTTTGCCTTCTCTTCATAATTCCGGTGGCTTGCATGCAACATTCTGTAACTTTCAGGTTAGGTTCCGTTAATATCATATTACTATAATACAATTATATCACATTGCTGTTCTCATGCCCTAGCCACTACATCTTGGACCTAGCTTTGGGTCCACAGCCCTATAATTCCAATGATGAGACGTGGAACCTTGTCTGACCGGTTGGGGCCTGGACGATTTTCGTGAGTTTGTACAATATTTCCAGGTCAGATGCATCTGGTATTGCAGGAGGAACGAATTTTGGAATAGATGTCTCTCTTTGCATGTTCCTTCTCATAATATTACAGTTTCGACACTGTGGCCAGTTGGCCTTTACCACCCATGTTTTAGATTTTACATTATCCGGGCAAAGAGCACACCTGTTACAGAAGTAGTGTGGACCCCACTAGTGTGCTCTACTATATCTCAATTTGCACATGTTTTCTACGAGGACACTTTCTGTGTGGATCTTGCCCTCACTGGCCACACCCACCTTGTCTATATGGGATTCTAGCTAAAATATGAGAGGAGGTAAGTGTGTTTTGGAAATTTGCGTTTTCCTATAATGAAAATGTATTTCCGATGAAACTCACCTCCCATCTCACACTATCCCATCCTTCCTCCCCGTGATGGCTGATGTTTGGGACTGATAATTTTGCCAGTCTCGAAAAAGTGAATAAGAAGTAAGAACAGGGACCTTATATACAGATGTAGTACAGAGGGCACATTGACATAAGAGGAGAGAGTAACAAGATTAAAATCACAATGGACGATATAGTGGGATATAAAGACTGGAGCAAGGGAGGTAGAATTAATACCAATACTTAGATGGGCAGAGAAGAGAAACTTTCATTGGGATAAAGCTAAAGTGTGAGAGGAGGTAAGAATTATCGGAAATACATTTTCGGTATAGGAAAATGTAAACTTTTCTGTTTTGGTACCACAATCCACCTTCACCAGCCAGTTTCTGGGACATGGTTGTTTCATTTGGTTTGGTTTGAATTTCACGCAAAGCTATACGAGGGCTATCTGCACTAGCCATCCCTAATTTAGCAGTGTAAGACTAGAGGGAAGGCAGCTAGACATCACCACCCACCACCAACTTTTGAGCTACCCTTTTACCAACGATTGACCATCACATCATAATGCCCCCATGGCTGAAAGGGCGAGCATGTTTGGTGGGATGTGGATTCGAACCTGCGACTTCTCAGAATGCGAGTCGAGCGGCCTAACCACCTGGCCATGCTGGGCCACTGGTTAGGGTCTAGTTATTTTAGATATTGACTTTATCTGGATATATGTATTTAATATATTTTGTTTCTTGTGATATTAATAATAACTTATATATTACTTTAAAAGAGTATAACATATTATACCATATTTGAATTTGCATCAAACTTTGATGTTCATATATCTGGAAAAGTTAAAGAAGTAAAAGAACATGTTTCATTTTACTGTGAGGCACTCTTTCATCTACTGATTTAAGTGAAGATCAAAGGAATTAAAACTATTTATTTTGTCATATATTTGTACGATGTATAAAACAATGTTTAAATCATTTTTTCAGTGTATACCTTGATGTGTACTTTAAGAGGGACTTGAACATAATACAACCACGCATTTAACACAGTTAAATATTTCTTAACAATGATATCTTACATTTATTTTATTTATATTGTTGTTGTTCAGGTTAAAGGTCTCCAACCAGGGAAAAAATACAAGTTCCGAGTCAGAGCTGCAAACAGACAGGGAGAATCTGAACCTTTGGAAACTGATAAAGCTATTGAGGCCAAAAATCCATTTGGTTAGTAAATAAGTGGTGTATAGAACTGAGCCAGTACTCAACTTATTGGTAGATTTTCATGAGTTTGATCTATACATTTCTTTGCTGAAATACTAGAAATATCAAATTTAACTAACATAATATAAATTGTAACTTTGAAGTGCAAATTTTATGTTGAACCGACAGTAGAGTCTAGAATGAATATTATAATAAACCAAAACAAATATTTTGTTACCTTTATGATATCTTTTATGGCCATAAAGCAGTAGTGAAAATAAATAAAGAGGAATATCAGACTACAAGATTTTGTGTATTAATATTTATTGTGTTTGATTTGTTTCTTCATTCCTTTTTTTAGATGAACCAGGTAAACCAGGAACACCAGAAATTGAAGATTATGATAAAGACTTTGTGAAACTGAAGTGGAAACCTCCTACAGAGGATGGTGGTTCTCCACTGACTGGATATGTTGTGGAGAAGAAAGACAAATACAAGTAAGTAAATAGCTGAGTCTGTACTGGGTGTACTAGATACCACTGGCATATGTAATGTTTGTGCAATTGGGGAAATGCACCAACGGCCCCTCATATTGTGGGTCCCCAAAGTAATGCAAAAATTTTTTATAAATCTCTATACCTATAGCTTATCAGTAGGGACTGGACCCCTTAAAATATTACAATGAGTATTTAGAAGTGTTAAAAATGCCTCTGCTAGATACACTGTGAAGAAGAAAGAAAAATACAATTAAATATATAGCTATGATTATTTTTAATGTAATAGATACAAAAAACGAGTAAAATAAACATATGAATTTAAACTGAGTAAATATAGTGCTGTGTTTTATTGAGTTTACTGAATTAATTATGGAGAAGAAAATGAATACAATTTACCACGTTTTTAGTTTCAGTAAATTACTAAATATTATAACTTTACTGAATATATTCCAGAGAAGGAATACACATAGGAAAGAGTTATGTTGACTTCCTTACTTATGAAGAGAGAGTAAACGAATAAAGATATAAGCTTTACTGGTATTGAATTCCATTATGTATATATTTATGAAATAGATTTGAATTTGTGCATTTACACAAAATGGTGTGTTGAAAGTAGTTTAATTTTACTCTTTAATTTAGTTTTTATTGCTGAATCACATGGTCTCATATTCTGTACAGATATGTTCTGGGTCGATTCAGATGTTGAAGTGTAATAGTGGTGCCAGTTTCTGCTTACATTATTATACATTTATTGATTGCAAACCAAATTTCAAGAAAAAGGAAATAAGAAATATATATTTATATTTCTCTCATAAGCCTTTTTTTTGGAAACTTAACTGTACTTTTGTAGGTTTAGATTTTTTCATGTACTTGCTCTTTTACTCTGACATCACAATTAAAAACAGTTTTCTGTGATAAACTTCTTTGGAAAGAAACTTATCTCATACATGTAGCTCTACAAAAAATAAACAACAACACAAATTTTGTAATCCAGTAGATTCTAATTATTTAAAATTCATGAAATAATTTGAAGAAGTTAAATATCCAGACAAACTATGTAATATTAGGTAATGGTATAATACAACTGAAAACTAGTAGAACTAAGTAAGTTTTACATCTTTGAACTAGAGCATACTTACAAAAAATTACAGGAGTTGAAAATGGACATTAAATTCCATATTTTAGTGAAATTGGAAAGCAAAAATTTAATCAACTTCAATTTAAATCAGATTATAAACAAACAATATGTACAAATAGTACATAGTAAACATATTAAATTCCAGTCCATTACAAAAACAAAAGGCAAAGTCAGCTCACGCAATAAAAACATATACATACTATTCTTTGGTCTGGCAATGTGAGGAGCAGTGGGTTCACTAGGAACTCCTGGACCACCTTTATTTACAGCACGAACCCTAAACTCATACTGGTTACCTTCCACTAGTTCAGGTATTTTTACAGTAGTTTCACTAGCAGGCACTTCTGTTACTGGAGTCCACTCAGGACTACAAGAAAATAGAATTAATTCCATGAGTGGGAAACAAACATGATAAATTTATGATGATAATACCTCATAACTTACAAACAAATCACAGAAAATCAATTTATGAACTACTGCATATAGTTTCTTTCAATAAGATTAAGACTTCTATATTTACTACATTATATATAAATGGATAAAGACAGTTTAAAACAGTAGATCAATTTAACCACCACATTATTCCAATAATGGATTCAGGCAACATAATTTATGCACAACATCTATATTTGAGGTACTTAATTACTATATCAGAACAAACATGCATTGGACAATTTTGTACATTGTATCACAATATATCTATTTTATCTAATTACTTGATAAGGTAATCTATAACCATATAAAAATGTCTTCTCAGTAATGTCACTCACTCAGAAATCAGTTATACAAGTGTAAACACAACAAGTTCTTAGCTTACAGATGTCTTTTACTAAAAGCTAAGTCCTCTAAAATGCAATTTCACGTAATCAAATATTGAATTTAATATACACCAAGAGATACAGATACTTATTAACACTGACCTAGAACAGTGACCGTCACTTTAGCACTATCAGTACCATTAACATTTGTTGCTGTAAGTGTCAAGGTACCACTGTCACCCCTTTCTGCATTACGGACGCTGATATTAGTTTTGTAATCTTCATGGTTTATGGTCCACCTTCGATTACCATCCATCGGTTTTCCATCCAAAGCCCATTTTTTGGAAGGAGGAGGTTCACCCTGAACAGGGACATTTAGTTCAAAACTTTTGCCAGCTTTGATACGAATGTCGTGCATTGCATTGCGATCAATCTTAGGGGCCACTAAAGAAAAAAAAAGTGTGGTGTAATGCAATAGTTAAATTGCCTTTATCCATTTTTAGTATAACATTCTCGATATAATATGATGTTTAAGTTGTCTTTATCCATTTTTAGTATAACATTCTCGATATAATATGATGTTTAAGTTGTCTTTATCCCTTCTTAGAATCTTAATGAAACTAGTATAGTATACTGATCAATTAGGCAAAATTGTACTATGCAGTGAATAAGTTGATTTTATCCAATCTTGGTGTAATAGCGATTAGGATTACTTTTACCCAAACTTAATATAATGCAGTAAGTAAATAAGTTTCTTTAGTCAAGAAGCTCTAACCAGTTGAAGCTGTGTCCTCACTAGCTGTTCATTTTCATTACTAGATGTCCCTGGTGCTCCTCAGAACATGAATATATCCAATATTACTAAAGATAGTTGCCGGTTAACGTGGAAACCACCCAAAGATGATGGTGGATGTGATATATCACATTACATAGTTGAGAAGAAGGATGTAGAAACTGGACGTTGGATGCCAGTTGGAGAAACCATTGATACCAACATACGAGCTGATAAACTGATAGAGAATCATGATTATACATTTCGAGTGAAAGCTGTGAATCGAGAGGGAGAGTCACCTTGGCTTATTGGTAGAGAACCCATTACTGCCAAAAACCCATATGGTAAATATGGACTTATGTATGTATTGTCAAATAATAAATTAATTTTTAAAGCATCAAATTTATCAAATGTGGTGTTTCTTGTGTTTGTTTTTAAATACCAAAGCTTAGCACATAGTAATCTCAATTCCATTGATGTTTTTTTTACAAAAAAAATATTGGTTACATCAGAACAATATTTTTAATTATCTTCAACATATCAACTCACAGCTTGATTTAGAATTAACGTAACTTGTGAGATAAAAAAACTCATTTACTTATCTCTTCTAGATCAACCTGACAAACCAACAGCACCAGAAGTGGTAGACTGGGACAAAGATCACGTAGATTTAGAGTGGCGGCCACCGAGACGTGACGGTGGGGCTCCCATAACTGCTTATGTTGTTGAAAAAAAATCCAAACTAAGTCCTGTGTGGGAAGAAGCATTGAGAGTTCCTGGTGAAGCAACAAAAGCAACTGTTCCTGACCTTAAAGAAGGAGAAGAATATGAATTCCGTATTGTTGCTGTGAACAAGGCTGGTCCAAGTGAACCAAGTGACCCATCTCAATCAGTGGTTGCAAAGCCACGATATTGTAAGTTTGAATATTATAAACGTTATTTACTGTAACAATGAAAAAATTGTTACATTTGTACAGTAATTAATTGTTAACTAGCTGTAAAAAAAAAAGAAAATGTGTTAACCACACACACGAAAAAATCAATACTAAGTTTGTTTGGATCTAAACTTTACAAGTAACTTGAAGTTTGAGCAATTAATTTTTGTTCTCTACTATTGAAATAAAAAAGAACATGTTACTTGTGGCTATGCTGCTTTGTCATTAAAATCATATACACATCTATTGGTTAAGCTGTAACCTTTCATTATTAGAATCTTTAACTTACTTAAGAGATACAGTTTTTTAGTGTTACAGTTCACAATGGGGGCAAGATATCAATTAAAAATTGTTTCATGTGAAGTCACAATACCACTACTGATTTCAACTGTTTTATGAAGGATTATTTTCTTCATAAAACAGTATGCCAATCCTAAAACGTTAATGAATATATATGAAATAAATACTTGGGTTGAAATTAGAAATTGTTTTTATTGCATTTCATATCTTGCTTTATTATGTTGGTATTTTTTTCTTCCTCCTTTTTATACCATTAGACATTTGTTGAATGTTAACAAAATGCCCGAAATAACAAAAAGTACAATGTTCAATTAATTTTGTATCTGCAACTAGCAATTTTTGTGTGGCTCCTTGATGCATGAAACAAAGTAGCTATACTGAAGTTTATTTGTGTGAGCTTAGAGAAACTTAGATTATTCTTCCAATACCTTATTTTTCTCATATTCTATGAGTAGTGATCGAATTTATGAAAAGTCAAAGCTGTTTGAATAATATGAAGTTTGAAATGTAAACATTCAAGCCAGTTAAGTGACAATAAAACAACTCTTAGAAATTGTAGTAAAAAAAATTATCAGGAAAATATTTGAAGACAAGTTATAAGAATTTAAAAGCAGATATAACATTTTTCGCTTTATATGTAATCTCTAAATTCATTTTATTACAAATCAGTTTTTTAATATTTTCAACTATAAATATATTACATAAACTCATAGTATATTATTATATGAAATCACTTCATGTAATTTTTGTTTACAAGTAACAGCTCTTTTAAATAATTTTGTATTTCTCTAGTGGCCCCGTCCTTAGACAAAGCAGCCTTACATGACATGAAGATTCGTGTTGGCCGGCCTATCAGTTACACAATTCCTGTGCGAGGTGAACCTACACCTTCAGTTACCTGGCACATTAATGACAAGTCTGTTCTTGGAAATCCACGTATAGAACAGACTTTCACTGTTGGTCAAACCATGCTCGACATTCGCTCCTCCATTCGGTCAGACAGTGGAAGGTACACTCTAATACTGGAGAACTCTTCAGGGAAGACAAGTGCATCAGCTACAGTTACTGTCATGGGTAAGTTATTATGATTAGTATATCTTGAACTGTTGTTGATAAAGGTCAGGAGTGAAGGTATATATATTTACTTAATGTTTTTATTAATATTGTGGGTCACAGGTATTATTTATATTTTATTTGTTATATATATATATATTATTCTCTTCAGAATTATTTCAAGAATTACTGATTCAGTAGAGATGTATATTAGTTGCTTAGGACACGTATAAAAAACTTTTTCAAAAGTATAATTAGATAAATTATAGGTACATGTTATGCAAATTTTTAGAAGTAATTTAATTTTTTCATTATACTTATTGTGTTTTTCTCTACTGGCAGATCGACCCTCACCACCTGAAGGTCCACTTAACATTTCCGATGTCACTAGAAACTCTGCACAACTCAGCTGGAAGGTACCTAAAGATGATGGTGGATCACCCATCAAGCATTATGTTGTTGAAAAAATGGATGTATCTCGTGGTACTTGGGTAGAAGTTGGCACCCCTACACAACTTACTTATAAAGTTCCTAAACTGGTTCACAAAAAAACCTACGAATTTAGGGTTCGTGCCGTCAATGAAATTTCTGATTCTGATCCTCTGGCTGGAGATAAACCTATTACAGCCAAAGATCCATGTGGTAAGCACTCATCCCAGTTGATACATGATGATATTTACTGATTGGCTTTGTATGTAGTGTTTTTATATGCAATGATCTATATGTGTGTGAAATTAGGTATTAGCAGTTTAGCTTTATCAGTAAAACCAGTCTCCTTAAAGCTATTTTTAGTAAATCTCTACTCCAACAAAAATATGTGAATTTTTACCAAATGTTTGTTTTATTGTAAATATTCAAATATTCACATTGTAATTCACCATCTTAGTCGACAAAATAATATATACATGCTTACAGATCACATGTTTACTGCAAGACCATTTCCTAATCTCAATTTTAGTTAACAGATATAGAATTTTGCCAAATTGTTTGATGAAAACTGGTTGGCAGTTGGTATATTAGCAATTGTATCATAAACATATTGACAGAATTCTAAAAACCGAATTTTTCTAATATTAGAATTCCATGTAAAAATGGCGATTAAACTTTTAATGAAATCATTTATAATCAAGCACTTATTAGATGTCTTAAGAATAAAATAAACTTTAAAGTATGAGGCAGCGGTTCACAAATACTGGTCCACGGACAAGGATATAATTTTGCTTGTCTGCAAAAACATTCAATACTAAAAAAAACAAAGGCAGAAAAAAAAGTGTAGTAAAATATTTTATTTTATGAAATTTATAGTTTGTATGTCTATGAAGAATAGATGTCAGTGTTGTTCCCTCCTTAGTTTATTATAAAATAAATGAGCCATATAAATGTCATTTCAATACTTCTCAAAGAAACTAAATTAGGAAATAATCTTTAGCTGTCTTCCTTTACTGTTGTTGCTAGCTGAATCTTGATCGGTAAGCTTTTTACAAAGATTTTGACAGTCCTAGACTAAGAAACTTTGGGAATCACTGTTATATGGTGTAAGAATATTTGTAGATGAGTGTGGAAAGTGTAATATAATCAATCAGAATGGTATCATGAAATGTGAAGATACAAATCATAAAATAATTTTTTCCCAGGTTATTAAGAGTTCAGATGTTTAAATGGAGGTGGAGGTTAGACATCAATATAAAAATCATGATCACAAAATCCAGAACAAAAGAACGATAAATACCTTTCTCGAGGGTTAAATGTCAACTGTTGTTGTATGTACAATTCAGTATCAGTTTGAGAAAAGTATACTTAAGTGTAAACCTTTCCTGAGGGTTACGTGTCTACTGATGTTGTATCTACAGTTCAATATCAGTTTGAGAAAAGTGGACTTCAGTGTAAACCTTTCTCGAGGGTTACATGTCAACTAATGTTGTATCTACAATTCAATATCAGTTTGAGAAAAGTGGACTTCAGTGTAAACCTTTCCTGAGGGTTACATGTCAACTATTGTTGTATCTACAATTAAATTATCAGTTTGAGAAAAGTGGAAGCCAAAATGTTGGGTATTAAGAAAGTTTTTCTTCTAGTTTTTTGGTCATGGTTTTTATAGTAACTTATTTTCGGTTTTATTACATTGTTCAAACAGAGCATGAAGCTCAAGTGTTGAAATTGAAAGCATGAAGTAAACAATAGAAATAACATCATTTGTTTAGTTAGATCTGTTAAAACATTTATTAAATGCCATAAAATGTATAGTATAAAGAGTTAAGCATTATTAAAATGTATTTTTAATTAATAAAATTATATATATGTTTAAAACTTTATTGCCTAAAAAAATGCCAGATAATTTATGTCTATTTTCTGAATTTTTATAATTTCACATGCTTTTGCTGTAAATTAACTTAAACTCTAACATTCCTGCCATTGTTCAGATCTTCCATTGAATCTTAATAATTTGAGAGTTAAAAAAGTATGTAAAGTGACAAAATGACAAGTCTTTGTATCTGCTGCTGAAATAAACTATGATACTTAAAGAATTAACCCAATTTCTAAAAATATACTAATTATGTTTTAATATATAAATACAAGATGCAGAATAAATTGTATATTTTGTAGATTCTTAGTCTGAAAATATTCTATTCATGAAGCTCGGTTTACAATATCAGTTTTAGTTTACCACTACTTATATTTATGTAAAACCAAACTATCATTAAGTCTTGTGCAGAAAAATTCTTTTTAGATTGTAGTAAATATTTCATTATTTTAGTCTTTGGCCTGATACATAGGAAATTGTACCTCTAATGTTTGATTGTTTATGAAGTTTTGTATTATAGAAAAGTCAAACAGTTTTAATTTTTGTTGATCTAGTTGAATGATTAATCATCAGTTTATAACCTTTTTTATTTCACCTACAGTGAAACATTTGTTTTGTAAATATTTGTAATTGATGTAAATGTTTAACAAGTAACTTTATAATAAAATAATGCAGCTATTTTGATAACTTTATATAACCAGAACAACCAGGAGCTCCAGGGAAACCTAAGGTAACTGACTGGGACAAAGATCATGTGGATCTTGAATGGGCCCCACCCAAAGATGATGGTGGCTCCCCGATTACAGGATACATTATTCAAAAGAAAGAGCGTGGTACCCCTCTGTGGACCAAGGCGGCCGAGGTTCCATCCTCGGCAACCAAAGCTACTGTTCCTGACCTTATTGAAGGAAATGACTATGAATTTCGTGTAATTGCTAAGAACAAAGGTGGTGATGGTGAACCTAGTGAGCCATCTGATCTGGTTACAGCTAAACCCAGATTCTGTAAGTAATGATCATAAATGAGTACTAATATGGAAAAGAAATCATTGTTAGGGTTGGTAGTCTTAAATTACTAATTGCTTTTATTACTAGATACTAACTAGATTATATTTTACAATTTAGCTACTTGTCTGATCAGGGAAGTCTTGAGATAGACTGTGTGTGGTTGTGGTAATAATGGCCAGCAGATTTGCAGTCAAGATATAGAATATAAACTAATTAGAAATTAGTAACTAGTTAATTATGTATGGTAAAGGCTATTAACCATGACAACAAATGACAACATAAACAAAGTTGCATTACATTAACTGTTGAAATACTGGCTTTATTTTAAACAAAGTTACATGACATTAACTGTTGAAATACTGGCTTTATTTTAAACAAAGTTGCATGACATTAACTGTTGAAATACTGACTTTATTTGAAACAAAGTTGCATGACATTAACTGTTGAAATACTGACTTTATTTGAAACAAGGTT